AAGGAGAAGCATCATAGTGGTGATCCACTTATCACACAAGGGAGTAGCTCATTTGTTTTACTAATCCTTAATCCCTATCTTGTCTCTAGCTTGCTCTTGCTTGTAGGATCATGAAGAAATTCAAAGGTGCCATGGGTATTGGAAGTAGCAAGAAGAAGGCCAACAAGCACGTTCGGTTCCCGTCGGATGACATCTCTGTGGTGGGAAGCCAAAGCAACCATGGCAGCAATGCCATGTCCGTTGACCAAGCAAGCCAAGAGAGTGGAGAAGCAACAATTCGCGTTCTAACAAGTGATGAGCAAATCATCTTGGTGGATGATCGCAAGAGGCAAGCTTTCCGAATCATCAAAGACCGAACATTTTATCACACCCATGCCTACGACCACGACTTCTTAAATCGCACAGGTATGATCACCAAATTCCAAGTTATTTTTCATACAATAGGATTGGAAAAAATTTTGCGTGTAAATGAAGATGGGTGTAGGGAACTCACCATAGAATTTTTATGCACGCTCACTAGAACCACTACGCATGTCACATTTAGATTTTTTGGTGAGCAATATACCTACACTTAGAAATAATTTAGTGTCTTGCTAGGCTTTGATAAAAATTACAATCATAATTTGGATAGAGTCGTAGAAGGATTTGATCGAGTAGACTTTTGGAAAGAAATTAGTGACAAAGATAGCTCTACTCAACCTAGGACTAGTGAAATTCATAATCCCACTTTGTGTTTCATGCACCGTTGGCTTGCTATGACATTGTTTCCTAGGAATGATCTCCGTACCGTTAGAGTTGATGAAATGAAAATCATGTATGCCATGCTAAATAAAACTCGTATTTCTCATGTCATTGGCATGATAGATTATTGGTTAGGAACTTTTCAATGTGATGAATATGTTGAGTGCACCTCCTTAATCACTAGACTTGCAAGAAACATGGGATTGCTTGATAGGGCTTTAATTAATTATGATCACTTTTTCCAAGCACACATGCTAAAAATAGATCAAGAGAATGATTCTTATGTCATGGCTTATCGTGGGTATGTCAATGAAATTCGTTTGCCCAACACGGAATATTGGTTAAGTAATGTTGACCGACTAACCATCCCGTTGGAAACAATATAAGCATACAACTGTAGGATTGCAAGTGGAATGCAGATGACAAGGAGGATGACAAGAAGACAAGCTGCTGCCGCCTGAGCTGCCGCACAAGCTTAGGCCGAACAAAATGTTTGAGACGCTCTTAACCGAGGCATGGAGCACCCATCTTAGTGGGGTGCTTGGGCTGCCTCACCTGGTTCACAGGAGGCGGGAGGATCTCACTGGCATCAGCAGCACTGGCAGAAGCCAGAAGGGGTCTCTCCCTGGGACCAACCGCAGCATGGTGGATCAGAGCTGCACTCAGCAGGAGGCTCACAGTGGCATCCTCCATTTGGAGAAGGCCCTTCTCATTTTGCAGGTCGCGGAGATATGCAGCTGTCCAGTTCAGAGGGACATCCCCCTCCTCATACAGGACGTCACTCCACTTCAGCCATTCCTCGAGATTGGGAGCGTGATGTAGGCTTCCTACAGCACCAGATGGATGGAATCTGCCTCGACACCACCGCGCTTCACCATGACTTTCATGCACATGTGCAGGACTTTCAGTACCAGCAGGAGAGCTAGCGGCCATACATGTTGTTTACACAAAAAAATTGGTAAGTTTATCCTGTAAAGAAAGAGATCGGCCAATGATATCAAGGACAGGAAAATCTCTTAATTAAAGGGATATTTGCGGGTCGGCCATGAAATATTATTTAATATATTTTGAGATGCATGACGTCCAAGACTTTCCCGTATGAAGAAAAGGAAAAAGCAAGGAAAGCCAAATCTTGTTTAAGCTAAATCATCTCCGTTGCCGAGAAAGATATGATAATTTAGAGCTGATGCAAGGCAAATTATATCTCGGCAGCTGGCTGTTGACGCATGGTATGGCAACGTGATTTTACTTGCATATTTGGATATGGAGAAAGAGAGAAACATGGATCGGAATCTAGCATGGAGATATGGAATTCTGCAGTTCAAGCAATATATACGAGTCATACTTCAAATGGGACTTGAATTAAGCTGATATCTATATCATCAGCCGGCCAGGAGGATTATTAGGAATATTATATCTAGGCCCATGTTCGTTTCTCTTATAATCTGTCTTTTTCAGCTTGTTTTTTTTCAGTCGGAATAATATTTTTCTCTCACAATAAATCATCTAGAACAGTGTTTCGTCTTGTTTTTTCAGCGAAGCGAACGGAGCCTTAGTTTCCTGTCCAAATAGCATGCAAGGATTCCAGGTACAGCAGCTTGACGTGGTTGCTAGCAAGATTAAAGCAAAGGAGAGATATACGTGTATACGTGACCACTAGACCTACATGCTCGGTTATCGGAGGTATGGCCAATTAGCATATTTGGTCACGTATAGGTGATATGTGGTAAGTACACGTGCAATACGGAGGCATCAGGATACATAGAAAGCAAAGAAAAGCATATTTTAATTCGGCCACGTTGCACGGATGGAAACATCAAGACAAAATCCAAGATTATTACGTGGTAGCTTGGATGCAAGGTCACATGGAGATCGGCAGGCATGTTGTACAGATACACATGCACGGTGGATTAAGGACGCATAGCAAAGAAACGTTGGTCAACAAAGCTTCATCAGCAAGTACTCTATACAAGGAAGTATCTTAATATTTTTTCTTTATTTAGATACATCTTGTTAGGCAAGTTTTGTATGGGTTACCTAGCTGACCAGGGTTAAGCCTCGGATATAAATATTGAACATCGGCTATTGTAATAGATATCTCAGCGATCAATCAAAAACTAGTACTTTTACTTTTCGGCTTACATCACCTCTTAGGAGTAGGAGTAGAGTAGATCTCAGCGAGTTCTTCGGCAAGCAGGGCTGCCATCGGTTAAGTCCGACCTCCGGTTTGTCTATGAATATCCGTCACGACTTATATTTTATCTGTAAGGCTGCATCGGTTAGATTTGACCTCTTACAAGCTTGGTATAAGTTAGTTATTATCAGTTAATTGTAAGGTTGCATCGGTCCGGCTCGTATCTCTTACAATTACTGATACAAGTTACCCTTGATTCTTATCAAAATTTATACGGTTGCAGCGGTCCGACTCATATCTCGTACAAATTTTGATACGGATTAGTTATCAGTTAAATCTATTATGGTAGGGTTTCCTTACTATTTTTAATAGATTTGTTAGTTATCAATCTTGTTATAATTAGTTTATTACTATTTATAACAAAATCATCCCTTGCCCGATTAAGATTGAAATAGATCGGCTTTATATCTCTTCAAATCATTATCTTGTCGCTTTCCCCTGTTTACATTTCGCTTTGACGATGGTTTTGGTTAGCTTAGCCGTTTTGATCCTATCTTGATTGAAGATAGCATGTGGTCAGGACGTGTTTAACCCTAAGTAAAGTTTGCTAGTTGATGAAATCTGGTCTAGAACTGCTATTATGGCTACCATCGATCCGGTCGACCCCCACTGTTAGCACTATAGATTAGAAATCATCAAATAGTAAGTCTTACTTATGGTCAAACATAGCCTCTGGTTGCATGCTTTCTCGATCGTAGCATGTTTTCACGATTCTGTTGAGCGTGTATAGATTCGTATCCATTGAAGGTTTAACCTGTTATCATTATCATGACTGCATCGGTCCGGCTCGAACCCCACGGTTTGAGGTATTAGATTGAATCTGATAGGTGTATGAACTTATCCACGTTCAATGGTTGAGTGATTGCACGTTACGAGTTTATTTTCATCGAAATCAGCTATTTTAGCCAATAGCCTGCACATTGAGAATATATTGGCTATTAATTGCTTTTACTTGTTTTTGTCTTGGTTAAAAGCTAGTATGTTTCTCATTGAATATGAATGCTTCCACGTCTACTTTTTACACCTTTCGCATGTTTTCATGATCATCGGCTGTTTAGATCTATTCAATTGAGTAACTGACAATTGCTGATATGCTCGTTTTTACTTACCATACATCATGAACATGATGGATATTGACTCTCTAGTCGATAGTCTTATCTCATTGGCTACTTAGCCGCACATTTAGAATTATCTGGACAAACACTGGCATGTTCCCCCTTAAAATCAGAAAATAAAGTAGAATTTATTTATATAGAGTTTGAGGACTACTCCCCTAGATTATGTTTGGGATGGACGAAATAAAATCAGAAAACGGAAATGAAATGAATGAAGACACGTTTAGAGTTTAGACACATGAAGTGACGAAGAGATATCTGGCTTGTTCTGTTTCACACCTCACTTCCCTACGGGCGACGAGTAAGCTGGCGCTGTTGCAATCCTCACCGCCGCAGCAAGCAGGCAGCGCCTTCCTGCGGCGCGCGCTCGTGCTCCTCCTCCTCGTCGGAGGCGGCAGCCCGCTCTTGAGGCAGGCCCCTGCGCCCCGAGGCATCCAGGCTCGCTGTTAGCTCATCAGCAGACGCGCAGGAGATCTCGGTCCTCGTTTCATTTCATCGGTGTCGTGGTTGACTACACAGGCCTCCTTCGCGCGCCGAGGCGCTTCGAGAGCAATCGGTTTCTGCGACCCATCGACGCCTGCAGCCCCGCCACGCCCTCGGTCCAGGACCTGCGCGCCGCCTCCGCCTTAGCGTGCCAGAGCGAGGCGCCTCGGCAGCAAGCGGTGAGTGACGGCGGCTGCTTCGTGCGGCTTGAGCCCGTCAGTGCTCTGCCTCTGCCCCGCGGAACAACGCAGTCGCGGTGCGGCAGCTTCACGAGGCTTTCAGCTCGCCGGTGCTCCGGGCCTCGCCCGCCCTCCTCGGATCCGCAGTTGTCCCTAAATCGCAGGAGTATTTTGGTGGAGTAATACTCACCTCACGTTTCCAATCGCTTGAAGAGAGGATAGCATTTGGCATATCTGTCTGTATACGCTCATCTTTCCACCGACAAGTCTCGCTCGTTCCCCTTCAAAATGGCGCCCGCTTTCCTGACGACCCTCCACCCTGCGACGACCTCCTTCCGTTTCCCCGCCGGCGCCGGAGGGTGCAGCCGCTCTCACTGGGCCCCACCGGCGCTTTCCTCGGCGGCAACGCCAGCGGTGCCTCGCCGGCTCCTCCTTCCAGTGGCGGCCGGCATTTGGGACTTGATCTCCGGCGGAGCTGGCGGTGCGGCCGCTGCGTCCCTCGCCGTCCGGCGAGGTATGCAGCTTTTCCGGCAGGGAGATGTAGCTGGTTCATTGGCAGAATTTGACAGGGCGATCGAGATGGACCCACGACAGAAGCAATGTACGAGCTCTTACCTACTGCTTTTGTTTGAGGTTATACATAGCTGCAGCTAATATAACGCCTTGTTACAGATCTTTGGCAACGGGGCCTCTCACTGTACTACCTAGACAGGTGTGTAAAAATTATCCCACTAGCACTTAACGCCCATAATTCTGGTCATTATCCAAGAGCATTGATCCAAAAGTTGGAGAGTGAAGTGAGAGCTCTATATGTAACGTGGTATGTACTACATGAATGTATTCAAACATAGGTTTGAAGAAGGGGCAGAGCAGTTCAGGATAGACGTTGCAGCTAACCCGAACGACACTGAAGAGTCCATATGGTGCTTTCTATGTGAGGCTCAGCTATACGGGATTGAAGAAGCAAGGAGGCGATTCTTGGAGGCAAGTTCTTCAGGGTGTACTTGTTCAAGTACAATTGTCTCCTCATCAAATTCTAACTTGACGTGCATTCACTTTCTTCAGGTTGGACTGGACTCAAGACCTGTAATGCGTGAAGCATATGCACTGTTTAAAGATGGTGGAGATCCTGAAAAGGTTATTTCAGCGAAAGTTCTGATGTCTATGTGCAGTTTGTGTTCTATAACTTCTTTCTGAATATATCTTGATATTTCCGGTGGTCCTGTTTTTGTGTTTGGGCTTTAGTTAGCTGCAAACTTTTCGAGTGGCTCTGATGGTGAGATCTTCTATTCTTCACTATATGCCGGACTATACTATGAATCTCAGGTATGGAATAACCATTTAAGCCCTGTTCGAAATGTGTGGCCTTTTATACATTGTTTTAGGAATTGAATTCTAAATTCTTGCATTCTAATGAGACCTTCGATTTTTTTGTCAACATTTGTGTTATCTGTTAATTGATGAACATTCTAAAATTTGTACATTTGGCACCTAAGGTACATCTGCCCTTCCATTGAACATGTATTTCAATGTTGTAGTTTTCCGTGTTCAAAAACACATTATACAAGTATGCGACTTGATATATCTTGATTAGATTTTCTTCACTGGTTGCATAATAGATATATATTCCAATTGGTACATCACTAGGAAGCATACTTTCGTTTATAATCCATCTGAACACTTCATTCATGTTGCAAATATGCTAAAGAGCAAAACCTTTTAGCATCAAATTTAATAATATCTTATATTCATTCATGATTACTCCCTCCTTTGCAAATTGTAGTTTATTTTGGTTTTGTCTTAAGTCAAACTTCTATAAAAAAAAAAAGAGGCATACCCAGTGCAGAGAGCTCCCGCTCTGTGCGGGATCTGGGGAAGGGTGTTAGTGGCAAGCCTTACCCTCGCCTATGCAATGCGAGGAGACCGCGACTATAAATTTGACTAAATTTGTAGCAAAATTCACCAACACTAGAACATCAAATTTGTAGCTTTAGATTTTTCCATGCAATATATTTTGATAGAGAATTATTTGAACTTATTAATATCAATATATTTTTCTAAAAACATGGTGAAAGTTAGAGAAATTTGACTTAGAACAAAGCCAAATCCCAAAGTGAATGGTATATAATTTGGAACCGAGAGAATGCCAATTTAATATAGGCAAATATCTCCCCTTTCTTTGTATCATTATTAGTGCAAAGTTAATTACTAGCTACACTTGATGCTGAGCAGAAAGATGCAGATATGGCAAAATCTCACATTGTTGCAGCATGCAAGTCGCCTTATGGATCGAGGTTTGGCCTGCCCCTCTCTTTCTCTCTGTCTATATATATACTGTGCTGATGAATAAGTATTGATGTATGTATGCTAAGTCCAATTCTCTGTGTAGGTCCGGCGATTACATGGCTTCCCTTGCATTTGTCCACTGCCAGTGTCGCAACTGGAATCTAGTGTGAAAGAAATCACCATATTCAAGAGGACCCGACAACTCTGTTTGGATCCAGTATTTTTTCATCCCGTGATATAGACTGTAAATATACTTTCAACCGGATTCTCCTTGTTGAGCAGCATCAACAAGGATATGGATTTTCAGACAATGACTGACCGAGTTAAGGACAATATGAGAGGATATCGAGTTTGGAAAAAAATCGAAGATCTCTGTTCTGAAGTCTTTTTAGTACTCGACTTAGATGGCATTCTATCTTATTACATAGATATTCACATCAAAGAGTCAATCCACATTCGTATCTAAGTCAGCACACCAAAAGTCAAAACAAACTCTATAATTGGATTTCCGGATATTGGATATATGCAATGTTTTCCTAAACGGTAAACGGTCTTTACACGGTCGTCCTTCGTTTAGCGTTTAGGCTGTTTACACGGTGTTTAAACGGAGTTAAACGGTCTAAACGGTTTTGTAGTTTTTTAAAAAAAATACATATAATTATATATGTGCATGTAAAAAATCAAGTATTCTAGCATTTATACATATTTATCCGAGTAAAAATCAATTATTTTGGTATGTATATATATTTATGCATGTGAAAAGAACCAAATATAAATATTTATGCATGTAACATATCAAGTGTACACATTTATAAATATAATAAACTTAAGTATACAAATTTATCTATACAAAACTGAACTAGATTTACCTCGTGTTCGCCTAAACGGCCGTTTAAACAGCTGTTTAGCCCGTTTAATCCGTTCCGTTTAGGCCGTTAAGGCCGTTTTTTCCCGTTTTTTGACCGTTTAAACGGTCAACCGTTTAATTTCCGTTTACCCCCTAAACAAAACATCGTTTACCGTTTACTGGCCGTTTAAATATTTATTCAACAATCACACCATTGTATTTGTATTTGAGGTGAGGTGATCTTGTATTTGTATTTGAGACTTAACTAAGGTATTTGAATTTCTGTTTGGTATCCAAGAAATATCTTAGACATCTGAAAATTACATCCAAATGAACATCTGATTCTCTTCGGTCGAACGATCAATCAAAAAAATATTCATATCATTTACACTTGTACTCATAGCCATGCCCCATTCTCTACCATTGTAACCGGTTGGACACGAGATCGAGGTGAGGTGAGGTGACGGTGACCCAACCCTTAATGTCCTAGCTACGGATTTAAGTGGGCTTAGCCCAACAACTAACTTATAGGCTTAACTAGCAAATGTGCCCATGCGTTACAACGAGACGTAAAACTTATTATGAGGTCACAATTGGACGATTCGTGGCTTAGATATTTATTCAACAATCACACCGTCATTACGTCTTGGAATCAAACTTTGTATTGTCGCTAGTCATATCTTCAGTTCTTCAGGATCCAACTCCATACCTTCTAGCAAATGCACATATGCATTATAACGGCAGCTTGTTGACCAACTACCTGGAACATAAAAAACGCACGGACGCACAGAAAGAAATACCGAAACGAAGAGAAGGGGGGGGGCGGCGTAGAAAACAAAACAAGAACTTACAAAAGGAGGCAGAGTCGACTTGGAAAAGATAAAATAAATAAATAAGCTGAGTCGGTGGCCAGACAGTAACAAAAGAAAAACAAACTGACACAATCACAAAATTGAGTCGAACACGGAAGAAACGGCCAAGAAAAACAAACTGAGTTGGATGATTTTCTTAAAAAAATTGAGTCGAACGGCCAAAAAATAGACAAAGTCGGATTAGATAGATCAGGACAGAAACTTTCCAAGCTTAAAAAACGGAAAGGACTCACGCGTAGGCTATGGGCACCACGACGTTCACGCGTTTGTACGCTCTATGGATACACGAAGAAACCAATTGTAATAAGATACAGATACAAATTTCTAGTCTTATTTTTTTATTTGGATTAGAATTTCTGTTTTAGGTTACTTAGAATCGGATGAATATATTTCGATTAGGTTCCAGACTATTTAGGTTACCTTAGGAAGCTCTACATATGTTGTATATAAAATAGGACAGGAGAGTTGTAGATAAACAATCAGAGACATTCATGTAGTTACTTAAGGGAGAGCTGGATAAAAAAAATAGGTGGAGAAAAATTTTGCCTTTTTAATATTAGGTATAGATATAGATTTTGTGAGTTGTCATGGGTTACCTATAAAATAAAATTAGTTATGTCTATATATGGGTTTGCATGTTACCTCACTTGCATCTCTAGTCATAGCTACAATCACATCGTGTCTTCATTCCTTTGGTTCCTGCAGTTGTAGGCACTCAGGCCGTGTTTGGCATCGGCTCCTGCGGCTCTGGCTCCCTACGCATAACACTGTACAGCGCTGTTCTTATCTATAGCAAAGAGCCGGACGGGAGGAGCCTAAACAAAAAGCAACATGAAAACAAAAGGAGCCGGAGGAGCCAGGGATTTGGGGCTCCGGCGGCTCCTCCACATTACTGCTACAGTACCCAGAGCCAGAGCCGCCGGAGCCCCTCCAAACAGGCCCTCAGTGTCAGATTTTGGAAGGAAACAGCCATATGCCTATCGTTTTAGTTTGGATTTCTTAGCCAAATTGCAAAATCAGGCATTAGTCCTCCATCAATTATCGGAACAAACTTATAACACCAGTGTTATAGACTGTGGTTTACGCGCACAAGATGTTCATGTGGTAGTGGTTATGTAGATGTGTTCACACGAACATAACGTGACGACTACTCATCAATAAATAAAGCAAAACAATGAAGGGACCCAAATGTCCATCACATATTCTCTTTCTCCGTCATCCCCTAAATCCATGTTTGCTTGAACTACTTTTTAGCCGAGTCAGTTTGTTTCAGTTTATTCTTCCTCACAGAATACTATTGAATCAGCCAAAACCAGCCGGCTTATGTATCAGCCGAACAGTATATCTAGCTCTAAGAAGCTATGAGCTCCAATGTATGCGGCATTGTATGCATAGTATTTTTGCTCGAAGTTCCATCCCAATTAGCCTGTTCGCTTGTTGGTTTTAGACAGGGCTTATCAACCATGGTACAGTATTTTTCTCTCAAAACAAATCAGCACTAGTCGGGCTTATCAGCCCAGAAAATAACCAGCGAACAGGCTAAATGCCTCCTATCCTCGTCGTCCTCCGCTCCCTCGCCTCAGACACCTCCTCCTCTGAATCCAATGTCGCTGTAAAAGTCCCTCATGGATCGTTCTACCTCTATTACCTCTCACATGAATCACTCGTCCTTACCACCATGTCACAACATCAATTTCGGCTCGAGTTTCTCCTTCATGCTACCCTCATGAGCGTCCTCTAACCTGGGCTACATCTAGGATTTAGACTACGGCCCTGTTTGGGGCAGCGTTTGCTCAGCTTCTGAGCCCAGTAAGCGAATAATCCCGCACAAACGCCCTGCGATCTGGGCCTGATCGCGAACACGCTTCCGCGATCTCCGGTCGCCCGCAACGCTATTGAAATCGCGAGCTCGACCTCGCTTTTCCAAAATCACGACCGCGTTTCTCTCCCGATGCCAATCCTCCCGAGCGCTCTCTCTCTCTCTCTCTCTCGACGCTCGCTCTTCTCCGCCGCCGCCGCCGCCTCCCTTCATCCCCGCCGCCGCCTCTCTCCAGCCCGGCCGCGACCTCCCCATCTCGCATCTCGTCACCTCCCGGTCGCTGCCGCTCCTCCTCCCTCCCGGCTCCTCCACGCTAACGTTGCCGCTCATCCACGCTCACGACGATGGAGACGCTGCGGAGGACGACGACACGAGCTCCGCCAGATCCCCGGTGGGCGGAGGCCACCACGCGAGCTCCGCCAGATCCCCAGCGGCCACATCCGACCGAGCCCCCGTCGGCCACCACGCGAGCTCCTTCCAGAACTCCGGCGGCCACATCCAGACGAGCTCCCGTCGGCCACCACTCGGCCCACATGCGGTGGTGGTGATGCATGCTGTGTTGGCGTGCAGTGGTGGTGGTGCGCGGCCACCACGGTCGAGTACATGCGGCCAGGGAGCTGAGCGCAGGGAGCACGCGAGCTCCGACGAGGTCCACGCGAGCTCCGACGAGGTCAATCCCCGCCATGGATGACCTCACGGCGGCCGAGCCGCTCAGCTCCGCAGCCACCCACTCTTCACTCATCTTCTTCTGAGCGCCCGTCGATCTCCTTCCCCGCGCTGCAATCGGCCGAGGTAGCTAGCCTACGTGAATCCCCTACCTCTCCTCTCCCTCCCCATGCTCTTGGATTTGGAAATGGTGGCCGAAATCGCTGTCTCACGAAGCTCGCCGAGCTGTCCATGGTGGCCGAGCTGACGAACACGAGCACCTGCACCTCCCGTCCGTGTTCCCTCTCTGCCTCCATGTCTATTTCCTTGCTTCCTTGACTAGTGAGAGAGAGTAAATGAAGGCGTACTGTGTACCCAAATTGATGTTATTTTGGACTATTACTGTATAGGGGTATACAGGACAGATAATATACTAGAAATAATCAGGACAGCCAAACGTCCAGTTTATTCAGACAGCAGATTCTCTATATCGTGGCTTATCAGATAAGCCTGCTCAGCTTATAAGCGAGACTCAAAAGCTCAAACAAACAGGACCTACATCGTGCGCTTCTACCATGAGTCTACACAACCCTTCACTACCATGGCTCGTGTTCCAACGGATGTAGCATGCCCCTGATGCTTTCCTACTACTCGACGCCAGCTTGATGGCTACGATCAACCGTTTAGATCATATAGTTCGTGGAGCAGTTTAGTATGAACACACCGGGTCCCACAATGGCACATAGGTATCAAAGGTGGGGACGAGGCACATGGGAGATAGCAAGGGATGTCATTTCGGAGCTCGTAGACGCTGGAGATTGAGGAGGGCCGAGACAGGGAAGGACATACCACAGAGGAAAAAGGGAAGGGTACCAAGTACCAACATGTGGAGCTTCTCGTCGATGAGGATTTGGAGAGCGTAGCTGAGTCCCATCCCATGTCCGTTTTCTTTTCTTATTTATTTTTGTTAATTTCTTATTATGTCCACCTGGCAAAATAAACCGTTGCCATCTTGCCATTTCGTCGGATGGACGGGACAAGAAGATATTTATAAAATGGTGAAATTTTACTGTGTTTGAAAAAAAACTAGAGTCATCCGTTTAGATAAATCGGATGACTATAAAATAAGAAAAACTAATGTGGAGGAATTTAAGTTGTGGCCAGAACCTAAAATGCGTGGGTAGGAACCTAAAATATATGAGTTAGGAATTATTTCTAAAATAAATTTAAAGGGTAGAATAATACTTTTGCTGCTCCTTGTCTCTCTGTTCGAGCTCTGTTTCCTTTCATGGCAGATGTCTCCGTAGCTCCGTCCCTTTCCAGCGCGGTCACCGGCCCGACAAGCTAGCTCGCCGCCTACACAGGCACGCCCACCCGCGCGTCGTACCTCGCTAGTCGTGCTCGTCCGCACCGCCTGCGGCGACGCATGCCTGGCTCGCGCCCACCCTGAGGATGAGCCAGGATCGGAGGGACGAGCAGCCTGCCGCCATGGACGCATGTCGTGCTCGACCTTGACCTCGCTGCCATCAGCCCTGTGGCCTCGCGCGGCGCGTCGGCCCTCGTACGGCGTAGCTGCGCCTGCACGCACCGGCCTCGAGCCCCCAAGTATCGCACCACCAGCTGCTCGTTGGCCCTCCATGGCCGCGCCCGTGCGCTGGCCCCGCGGCACCGCTGCTCACCGATCCGGCACCCATCAGCGCCGCCGACCCATTGGCGACGGCACCTCGAGAGCGGGCTCTCAGGCTCTCAGCCGGTCAGCTCGTGGCAGCTGCTCATTGGAAGACCCAAGACCGAGCCTGCAAGCTGCTCAAGTTAGGAAAACTCCGGCCCGAGTAGTCTCACATATCTTTGATTCAGTATAGAAAATTAGGAAAACTCCAGTTCAACGAACAAATCACTTCAACGAACAAATCAACCAATAATGGTTCACGTATCCTTGGTTCAGTATCAAAAGCAAGAAGCAAATTAATCCATTTTGAGAGACTCAAACACAAAGCAAGATCTGGCCCGCAGCTTGCGCGGCGACGTTAGGCGGGCGGCTAGAGGGGGTGTCACCTCGGGCTCGAGCACTCTACGACCAGGCGTCAGGCCGGGCGGCGCCCGGCGTGGGTGCTGCTCGGCCACTATAATTATCATCCGGCTTATCAGCTAATTTATAGTATTTTTCTCTCACAACAAAACAGCTTTAGCTAGCTTTAATATCAGCCGAACAGGCCCACAGATGTGGCACTTCGTCATGGAAACGACATGTGGGTCCGTAATTACATGAGTACTGATACGACATGACTCCTGATCTTCACAACATTGGATCATTAACAAGTTAACTAGCCTCGATAACTAGTGGAACCTAGCAACTCGAATTAAACCAACGTCTTTAAAAGGCAACCTGGATCGAGGATTCGCCCAGCCACACTCGCAAAGAACCAACCAGCATCATTGGTGTACCCTCCTTCATGAACCTAAGCGATAAGTGCAGCCACAATGTACTTTACTCTAATTTTGGCTATGTTTGGATCCCCAGCTCTAAAAACTTTTGAGCACTTTAACTCTAAAGTTTAGAGCTCTAAAGTTTGTTTATGTAACACGAAATATTGAAATCCTTTGGCGAGAGGTGGTCAATAACCCAAAATGCATATAAAGTGATTCACGGTAAAACTGAGATTAAGTGTGCATGCATTAATCATACATGCATTAACATACATGCATTAGGGCCTGTTTTCATCCTCTCCTCTAAACTTTAGAGCTCTGAAAAATTAAAAGCACTTTAACTCACTTTTGAGGTCTAAAACTTTAATACGATGTGAGCTAAAGTTTAGAGCTAACTTTAGACCATCTATTTAGAGCTTTAGCACTAAAGTTTAGAGCGTAGGATCCAAACAAACCCTTAGACATGCATTGCCAAAATGTTCCAAAATAACAAAAATGTTCCAAAACTCCATATAGCTTTTCCTAACACTGAACCCTTTATCAAATGCATATTTGTTATAAAACTCGAAGCCTTCATCTTCACTAGCAAACAATTTCCTCGTACTCCAGTATAGAACTAAAATCGGCCATCTCTTCCTGTACATAGTTCAAAAAAATATTAGAAGAGCACAAGTAGTCTCCATCCCTCTTCGTATTTCATAAATCCTACAACCAAATCGCATAATGCATAAGTAATCGATCAATACACCCCTAATTCTTACTGCATACATCTATAAGCTACATAAATTGAACTAAATCAAAGAAAAATCAAACAACAACTAGCTAACAAATTAGATAGCAGTAAAGAACAGTTAGGGTTAGGGATTTTGGGAAAACTTGTTAACACTAAGAGAAAGAAAATGCAGAGGGAAACAAGCTCTCACCATCTGCACCAAGGCCGCAAGGGGCAGCGAGGCTGGGGCCCGGGGAGCCGGCGGGCCTGGCCGGCTGTGGCTGGGGCCGGGGGACGGGACGCCGGGGCGCGCCGGCCGCCTGCCACTAGGGCGGGCGCTCGCTGGGGGACGGGGCGCCGGGGAGGGCACTCGCAGGCAGTGACGGGAGCAGGGGAGCAACAGTCGCGCCGCCTCTAGTCCGTCGTGATCTAGACCGGCCGGGGGGGGGGGGGCGGGGGCAGGCTAGCGGCCGAGGGGTGGAACGGCGGCGAGCGTGGCGTCCGGGGGAGGGGGGCGGGCTGGCGGCGACGGGGGCTGCGCTCGGTCTCCCCTCTTCCCGGTCGCGTACTCGCCGAAGGGGCGACGGGCGACGCGGAGACGAAGAGGTAGGTGTATTGGGCTGGGCTTAGGGTAATCGGCCCATGACGTCTAATTCCAGAAGGGCACACCCTCAATTACTAAAATACCCACAACAATGTATTTCACATTTAATTACTTAGATTAGATAATTGAAGAAGATGAAAGTACTTGAAGATACCATGGTACTTTCTCAACTATTGTAAAACATCTTAAATAAATTAAGACTTTTGAACCTTTGATCAGACCATGGCGGCACGCGAGTGCAAGACTGGTCTCATCTTGGTTTGCTCCAGAATTCCTCTCCCGGCCTCGCTCACAGCACAGGGCCACCTGCTCTGCGGGCACAAAGCACACGCTCCGCACTCCGCAGCTTGTCCAGAGCAGAGCACTGGATAACGGAGACGATCAATGCGGGAAGCAATCGGTGGTCCCCGTCGGTCGGTACTCGGTAGAGGAGCATCGTCCGGCCAGTACAGCTAACAATGGTCCATAACTTCGTACGCCAATGTTGGCGCGCAAGGAACACGTGCTTGCTTTGGTTCCGCTACCTGTTTGAATCGAATGAACGTGAGGCCCGGTTAAATTCAGTGCGTAAAGTTTCAGACTGTCACATTAGTGTCGTATAGGGTGTTTGATATTAATAAAAGACAAATTATAGAATTCGTCAGTAATTCGTGAGATAAATTTGTTAAGCCTAATTAATTCATCGTTAGTATATGTGTTACTATAGCACCATATTGTCAAATCATAGATTAATTATATTTAAAAGATTCGTCTTATAAATTAATCGTAAACTATGCAATTAGTTATTTTTTAGTCTATATTTAATATTTTATACATACGTCCGAACATTCGATGGGATAAGAATTAAACCTTAGAAGGAACTAAACAAAGCATCATCAATGTTCTGTCGAAACAGTGGTAGCCCTGTCCTGACGCTCAACTCATACCTGAACCCGAACCGCCGCACTTACTCCGTAGCTGTTTCGATTTGACGGCGTGCTGGTTGCCTTGGGCCGGTTTTTTTCTATAATCGCTCTTAAAATTTTCATCACATCGAATATTTAGATATTAATAAGGAGTATTAAATATAAATTAATTACAAAATCAATTACATAGATGGAGGCTAATTTTCGAGACGAATTTTTTAAGCCTAATTAAGCTGTCATTAACACATGTTTACTGTAGCATCACGTTGTCAAATCATGAACTAATTAGACTTGAAAGATTCCTCTTACAAATTAGTCGCAAGTTGTGCAATTAGTTTTGTAATTAGTCTATATTTAATATTTCATGCATATGTCCAAATATTCGATGTGACAGGAATTTTAGAAGCTACTGTAGAGACCAAGCAGCCTCTAAGAACAGCTATACGAGGGTTGTACTCAGTCTCTGCCTCCGGCGTACTACTCCCTCTGTCTTGCGAAACATACGCCTATTCGTTTGGCTGATAAGCCATAAATTACGTAGTCATATTCTCAATAGCTAGTATTTATCTGCAATAAGACACGTCATTTGATGTACTAAAAACACTTTGGCACCTTCAGCCTGTAATTTACAGCTGATCCACATCCTGCTCATCGTCAATAAACTTACTCATCTCTTTATTCTTTACCCACCAGCACGCATATACGATTTTAAATATGCCGCCCCCGGCCTGCATTTTCTTGTTCATGACACAACACCACAAACTTACTGAAACTAACTGAAATGAAACAGCTCAAATCCTTTATTATTTGACCTTTATTCCAGAATGAGGAGGGATGACGTCTCCTTTTGATCACCCATCCCTCACAAAAGGGGCAACATCAAATTACATAGAAAAACCAAAAGGTGGAGAACATAAAAAAGACAGAGAAAAAGATGTGTGGGGGAGTGAGATCAACAGACTTCTGATTATGGAGCCTACCACAAATCACATAGCAGATATGGCTGACATCGAGATCTACGGGAACGGCGAAAACAGAGGAGAACAAGTGGATCAATGGAGTGATTAGGTTGGCACTAATAATCCACACCTATGACAAGATGACACAATCCTGAGATAGGCCCCCTCCCTCCCTATCTCATACAGGTGTGAGAAACTTTGGACTGGAATCGTTGGGTAGTGACTGTGCAGGGGGGGGTCTGTGTATGTACATTGTTCATTTGGTGTTGCAGGGTTCTTAGCCATGTAGCAATGTGGACGTGGGCGAAGAAGATAGGGTCATGAGCAGAAAAGCAGCCTCCTCCACTCCCATTAGGAGCCTCCGTTTCTGCACCACCTGCAAGTTGCTGCTCCCGCTGCTACTGCTGTTGCTAGAGCTGTCTTTTACTTCAGTCTTTGCCTCACCATTATTTTGTTGTTGTTGCTGCTGCTTGTGGTCTAGGCCAAGCTCTTGCCTCCTCTTCTTTCTGTACCGAATCCCGCAAGCGTTGCAAAGTGACTGCCAACAAAATTGAAACGAGTTAAGAAAAAAAATGACTGCATTCGATTTGTTTTCAGGGCATAGAGTGAAATTAAGCATCAAGTTTCTTTTTTCCAAAACAATTCTCTTGGTTATTTTATTATCCTAAGAAAAGTGTAATAAGTCATGTCTTGGTGTGCAATTCTGGTCAGCGGAAACACATTTGTCAAAGTGGAAGACAGAAATGAAAAATTATCAAGCTACTAGGAGAATCAAAGTGGATAAGTATCTTTCTCCCGGCACACCATTGGCTCGGTGGTTAGCACTGTTGGAAGGAACAGCTCACCTAACCACCAAGTTGCAGTCCAATTGAGTAGAGAGAAATATCAACAAGGCAAGTCGTATTAGCAATAGATCACCAAAACCCAACTCACCATTCCCTGTCCCAAATCATATCAAACGTCTTGTAACTACAGATTGCGACGAACATTTTTGTTATCCCTATTTTCAGTTGCTACAATACTGCCATATCATGAAAATAAAAGCAATATTACCATGAAAAATGAATAGAGCAGGTTTCATTTATCTCAATTGCAAATAGTTCCTCAATTGCCAAGTCCACTTCAAACATTTGGCCGTAAGAGTAAGAGGAAACTTCGCTGAATAGACCCTCAAAAAGCATGCTTGTCTCAGTGTGACAGCTCTCGATGATGGTACTGTCAACCTGTTGCATAAGGAATTAAAAAATTGGAAGACCCTGGGCCCACAGGATAGATTTGGTGGAATGTGGCTCGATCGTCCTTAGCTAGCTGTCTCTGATTAGAACACATTGCTAAGAGCGCACCAATTTGACTTGGTCTTTGGTGCCTCGATTGCATCGTACCGTTTTATACTGGACCGAATTTCAATTCAGCATTCACTACACGAGATCAGCAGATCATCGTGCATCCAGCTTTTAGGCTTTAGCTAAACATAATCCCATCCATACTGGTACCGAGTTGTTGAGAGTAACATGTATCTTTCCTATTGATTAGAATGTATTCTTAAAAAGAAGCAGTTCATAAGCACATACGAGAAGGACCGTATATACCCCTACTAAGCGGGCTGGATTGATAGCACAAAATTTTCAGAAGTTTATAAGTAGATGATCACATATATCCTATTCTATAGCACAAACAGGAAAAACGAGTAGTATTTGCAGGACTATTGGAGTCGTGTGTATATATAGCTAGGTTGATCAAGATCAGCAGCGAATCCAGCGACCAGGAATCCCCAATCTGGTGGAACCTTATCCTGACGAAGGCTATAGAGCCTGACGAACGAGGAGGGAGGGCGATCATGAGCTTACCCTGGGCCCGGTCGGGCCGCTGCGCCACATGGGCGTGGTGGTGGCGTGGCATTCGACGCAGCTCCCGGCGCCTTTCTCCGGCACCACGATCCCATCGATCTGCAACGACGGGTCGCAGGAAGCAGAGGAGAGATCAGAGAGCATGGCGGCAAAGGAGAGAGCGGAGACGAGAGCCAACGGATGTACCTTGCTGCGATCGGCGGAGCCCATCGGCGTCGGCGTCGGCGCCGGCGGCAACAGACGACAGTCCCGATCCGTGGCCGGGGTTGGCGACAGGATTGCTTGGAGAATTTTGGTTTTCGGCCGGCGTGCGTGGTCTGGTCTGTTTCTTAGATAGAAGAGAAGCGTGTAGCAGAGAGTAGAGAGTAGTTACGGGGAAGGGAAGGGGGATGTGTTTGTGTGTTTGTGTGGGAGAGAAATGGGCGAATTCTGCTGAGCCTGGGTCGGAACTCGGAATGGGGACGGGAGGGAGGCTTTTCCTAGGCATGTATCACGTATGCGAGTGGGAGATAAGCCGAGGAGGTGACGTGGCCTTTGCGGCTGCGCTGGGAAAGATTTTGCTTGTAGCGTTAGGGGGGCGTGTTTGAGGCTTACCAGCCCAGCCTGGGGAGTTAGGCAGCCTCAGTCGGTGTAACTGGGCCTGTTTGTTTGCCTGAATGCAGTAAGGGCTGGCTGAGTGTGAGACTGTGTTTATTTGCCTGTACAAATGTATATGAGTACCCTGCATTACAAATATGGTAGCCTTATCACCGCACCTTCTTCCTCACCTCATTATCACTTCATCGAACACCTCACCGGCATGGCATGAGTTCCATGACCCGAGCACGTCCACCTCCGCGTCCGCCTGCCGGACCCGCTCCTTGAGCTCCAGCTGTGCCTCCGCCTCCTTACCCGCCGCGCAGACCGCCTACACGCACCAGCTCCAGCCCCAGATCTCGCCGTAGGCGCACGTGGCAATGGCCGCCCTGGACTCGCCGCGGGGGGCAATGGCCGCGTCGGCCTTCCTGTTCGAGCTGGGCAAGCAGGTGGTGGTGCGCTGCAGCGGGTGCTCCGTCTCCGCAGGCAAGAGCGGTGCCAGCGCCAACGACTACCTCATCGAGATCTAGAACACCATCTCCGAAGGTGAGGCTGAGCGCCGGCGCCAGCGACTACCTCATCGAGATCCAAACCGCGGAGGATGAAGGCGCAGGCAAAGGGGAAGGGGGCCACGTGGAGGAGGGAATTGGCGGAGGTGCGGGAGGAGAGGTGGCCGGAGGTGAGGAGGACGGCGTGGGCGTCGCGGTGGTAAGCAAAGGGTGGTGACGGAATCAACACTGATCACACGCAATGTGCCAACGCGAGCCGGGCTCCAGAGAAACGAAAATAAATTTCGTTTCTCCTGGGCCTGGCTACGGGCTACTTTGAGCAGCGTACGGGGCGGGCTGTAATGGAGGTCCAAACAAACAAACAGACTGGGTTGCATCCTCTAGGCTCAATGGCTCATCCGGACTAGGCAAACAAACGCCCCCCTAGTTTTCCTTTTTTTTTCTTTTTCTTCTTTTGTCTGACTGGGTTTGAAAGCAGGACTGGAAGGGACCTCAAAACTGTTTCCTTGGTTTTTAAATTATTAGATATTTTGACTTTTTAAAATATATATTTTTTACTATATATCTAATTATAATGTATATCTGGTTACATAAAGTTGCGTAACTAAAAAAGTCAAAACGTCTTATAATTTATAATGGAGAGAATAGTTAATAGTTCACTCATCATCAGTCAGGCTGTTCGATACCTTAAGCATGAAAAAAAATATTGGAGCACTGTTTATACTAAGCTTATCTCATTTATTTATAGCCCTGCATTACTGTCACCAACATCTCACTTTCATAGGCATCCAGTGACTGAAACAAAGAGTGAACTCTTAACTTGAAAAGTTTTGCCACTATTATTAAGTTAGTCAAGTTCAGTTTTTTTTTCCAACAACGGCAAAGCTGGATTTCATTACTTGAAAGCAAAGAAATTACATAGTCAAGTTTAGTTTGATTTCAAAATTTTCCATAACAATGATAAACCCCCCAACTATAAGCGATTCCGCCTCCATTCAACTTTCCGAATTGAACTTGTATAATTTTCTTCTTTGAACACAAACCTTTCAACTAAGAAGAAAATCCATCCATAGAAAAATGAGAGGATTTAAGGACATACCAAACATGTGGGCTTTGCCCGACAGCCACAATGTTAAGAATTTCGCATGAATCATTTTAATTTCATAGGAAAAATACAGGAGCAGAAAATATTTACCACATTCCAAACAAACCCTAAACGCTGGGAAGGCCTCAGGCTCAGGCAGCCGTGGTCAGTAAAGCCACCGAGAAGAGAAGAGGATGAGAGAAACGTGACGTCACGGCTTACTGGTCAGCACATAGGCTTGGGGCTTACGCTATCACGAGCTAGTAGTTTTCATAATCTACCTAGACGATCGTGATCTCATTTTATATAACAAAAAGATGCTGATCTATTTTTATGGTGTCACGGTGGGTTGGTGCTCTCATTAGTTGATTTTGTAGGACACTGCTTTAACCTGCTTGTAACAGTTTCGTAAACAAATGGGGAATGGAACGATTGAATAATAAAATACAAAAGATAAAAAGGGTGCCTTATTAAACATATAAAAGGAGTTTTGGAGCAACAACTTGCTTCCTAAATTCTAAATCGTTATTATTCTCGCTAATTCAAGGTTTTGGTCAATCCGATAACTTTTTGTCAATCTTCCATGAGAAACACGAGACCCCGTGTACCAATCTCGCCGTCCACTAGGGCGGCCTTCTTCACTTCCGGATCAGCATGTACTATTTAGTCAACTCCCAGCAGTACTCTGTTTGGTTGCTCCATGGAAACCACTAGAGCCTACTACTGTGTGAGCATGAGTATCTCTTCCACCACCACCAGGACATATTCCCTTTGCTTTTCAGCACATATTCTTCTTGTTACAAAAGGGCCAAATTGCAAAGTATATATACGGGCCTGCTTGACACAGCTCACAACACTTCTTTATTTGCTAAACACTTAGTTTCAAAACAGCTTCACCTATAAAATTGTTTTTCTCTCCCTTTCATAAAGACATGAGTTGAGATGAAGCTGAAAAAAGTAGCTTATCATACCTCTCTTCCTCGTTTCTCTCCCCCATTCATGTATGAAGCTATTGGTGAAGCTATTTTGCTAACTAGTTTTTTCAAAACAGCTCAGCTTCACATAGAAAGTTGTTCATGAAGCCATTTCAAAAAAAAAAACAACTTTACTAGTGAAGTTGAGCTATGCCAAACAGACCCTATGTGTTATCCTGTGTACTTACTTTTTGTATACATGGGATCTAACTAAATGGGGGTGAGAATTGGGATAGCTGCTGCCTGCAACAAAATCTGCACAGCAGTATCTTCTTGGTGAAAACAAATCCACCAGGGGGGAAGGAAAGACGCGGACACATCCACACACAGTCCTTTCCAAGAACGGATCAACCCATACCAAACAAGGCTTGGAGCAAGAAGAGCCCTCGGCCAAGAGATTTGATACGGAAGCCGAATCCAGAGGATAAGTGGATAGCCATCATCATCCATTAAGACGAGAAGCTTAACCAACAAACTGAACAAAGGCTACGGCTACACCCTCCTCCGTAGGACCACCACCAGGTCCACACCACTCACATCTCTCTTTTTTTTTTGAAACGGAACACCACCCACATCTCTCAGGTGTATAAATAATGACAAGTTGAGAAGTGGCTCTTCTCATTAATGAATATAAGCAGAGCCGTTTGTACTTTGACGAAAAGCAGAGCAACACCACTGCATGCAACTGCAATGTACTACAGCACCCCAGCTGTCAGCCACCCGGGCCGTCAATCATCCGAGCACGGGTTGCAGGAGGGCCCCACTGTTTACTTCCTTCTCTAAAGTTTATTTCCTATCTCATCGAACGCTTGACACATGTATGAAGTATTAAATATAGACTAAAAAAATAATTAATTACACAGTTTATGACTAATTTGCGAGACAAATCTTTTAAGCCTAATTAGTCTATGATTTGACAATGTGATGCTACATTAATACATGTGCTAATGACGGATTAATTAGGTTTAAATTTGTCTCGCGGATTATTGACGAATTCTGTAATTTATTTTTTTATTAATATCCGAACACCCCCATACACCCCCATACAACATCCCCATATGACATCTGATGTGATACCCTAAAACTTTATACCCTAAGTTTAAACAAAGCCTAAATTCTGATGATGATTGGGTGGAGAGAAAGGGGATGAGAGATGCACGCAAATGATGGGCACTACCGTACCAAACGCCAGTAGGGGTAGGCCAAGACAGGCAAATAACCTCCTGGACTTGGAGAGCATGATGATTAGCACCACTACAACATTAAGAATCTTCCCAATGATTGGGATCGCGCTGGCAACATGCATCTCGTTCTTCCGATCCATTCACAAGGCGACTTCGATTCAGCCCTGTTCGTTTGGCTTATCATCGTATTTTTTTAGCGAAGTAATAGTATTTTTCTCTCACAATAAATCAGCGAACGGTACTTTTCAGCATACCTTTTCAGCAAAGCGAACATTGTCCGACAACAAGTGACAATCAGAATCAGCTTTGGGTGCAGTTAACAGCGGAAAAAAGCGTCGGAGAAAGGGGTCATCATCACTCTGCAACGCCTCAGACACCCTTACATAGAAAGACAAAAGATCAGACCATGTTTAGCATACCAGGTTATGCTTTGCGTCATGAACTACGTCGCTCTTGACTTGCAGCCAGGACATGAATCTATATGCACTTTTCATCAATCTAGTATGAGATGGTTCCATGAGACTCAAATAATTCTAGACTAGATACCTTAAGTTAGAGCATGATTTTAAGAAAAAACAAATCTAAAACCGAGTTCACAACTTTATGATTAACTCTAATTTTACCATTTTTAATTTCTCTAAAAAATTATTTATTCAATTTAGTCTGATTTGCTGGCTAACATGGCGCCACGTAGGGCAAAACCACCATCCAAAACATCCACCATGCAAGTTCAATAGGTTTCAAAAGTCAACCGAGGTTGGTTTTCAATTAAGGAAGACGAATCAAACTTCAAGCAAAGTTGGAGCTTAAAAGACCTTCTCCCTTACGTTCAAAAAAACAAAAAACTTCTCCCAAATACATTTGTCAAGAGAAATAAAATGGG